GGGGAGGGCAGGAAGGGCATAGAGGAGAAGAGTGTACTGCCCCAGGCCATTTTCTTTCTGCTTGCCTGGTAACCAGCTGAGGTGGGTCATGCCCTGTGTTTTCTTCTCTCTGAAGGAATTTGCACTGACCAACCCAGAGAAGAGCAGCACCGAAGAAAGAGAGAGAAAGGAAACTACAGCAGAGGAGGAGCTGGACCCCAGGGTCCTGGAGGTGTTTCATCCGACCCATGAGTGGCAGGCCCTTCGGCCAGGTACCAAGTTCATCCCTGTCCCCAGGAAACACACTGAGTTCAAACTGTGTGGGTCCCTGTCCCCACAGGGATTCTTTGAAGAAGTAGCCACTCTCTGGCCTGCTGTAGGGGAACAGTGTGCTCCATCAGAGCAGTGGCTTCTGCTGCAAGGCTTAGAGGCCTTCATTTTCCAGCAGAACAGAGATTATGGCATCTGAGCACCCTGGAAGGAAGGCAGGTGGTGGGTGGCCAAGCTTTCTGAGCAAGTGATTGAAAACTTTCTTTCCTTGCACTTCTGAAACACGGGAGAGGCAGTGACATGTGCCTCACTCTGCAAATGCTATTTTGAGCTCTGCTGCTCGGCTCAGTGCTGCTGAAATATTGTTCACCAGAGAGTCCTGAGCACCGGTGCAGGGCAGGAGTGTTCTGTTGTTAAAGGAACCTGTGCCAAGAAACAGGGGCTGGTCCTGGCCTCGTTTTTAAATGGGGCATCCTCAAAAGCAACAACTTTCTAACCCTTTTATGAGCCTGGGCCTAGGGGTTAAAATAATAATGAAAAAAGCCAGCAGTTGTGGATGTTTACCATATTCAGATACCATGATAGGTGCTTCACGTACATAATCTTATTCAGTCTTCACAGTAATAGGAACTATTTTGTCTTTATTTTCATATTAAAACATTGATGCTCAGAAAGGTTAGGTGACTTGACCTATGTCATTTAGCCAACTTGTCCAATGTTGCTGACCCAGAGACTAGATCCACCTTCCTCTCACTTGTCCTTCTAGTCCCAGCTGTCCTGGTCTGGAGCCCCATTGTGGTGACACTTGGGCCCATTCTCAGGAGTAGGCTATATGCGTTCTGCCCTGTGGCAAGGTGGATGGCAAGCCCTGGCATCTGCCAGAGTGTAGTTTCAGCACCTCCTTGCTGATATTCATCACCATGTCTTCAATGCCCCCTTTGCTGCTGTGCTTGCAGGGGCAGCATTCGCTGTGCCAGCCAACTTTCTGGTAGCATTATTGCTCCTTCTGGGCTTGCATACAGGTAGTTGCTGCCACAGAAGAGTGATGAATCACCAAGGAAGCCAAGTAGGTGCTTATCATGTTGAGTAGAGGGAGGTTTTAGGGACAGAGATAGTGGGTTCAGCAGATCCAACCTCTGGCTACACTCCTCCACCTTCCCTGAGAACTGAGCCCCCCAGTCTTTGAGGACTAAAAATAGAAAGGCTCTCAGGGGATGGGGAGTAGAGGATGTGGGCT